AGAAGATAGGAAAGCTGGTAGAGCAATCTGGGAGGACCTGCGTACTCCAAGCCCCCCAAGCCTGACCGGAAGTGAGGCTTGCAACCACTGTCCATCTTCCAGGGAAAGATTCAGTACACTCTCTAGCATGATTTTAAGGAGAGAGAGTCATATTCCTTGAGTTTCGGACTGCTGAAGGCTGGGGAGCATCTCAGAAAGTAGGTAAATTTTGGGATTGACAGGCACCTGGTGAGTAGGTAGAAGGCATCATGTATATCAATGTCTTTCATCCTGCCTTCCATCGTTCAGAGGTCTGAGATCGTTTTTTCTAGGATCAGATCGATTGCATTGAACCCAAGAAGAATGCCAAGGAAAGTGCTATTGGCTGGATCAATGGCTCGTGCTCCTGGTAAAATAGCACTAATATTCTGGATCATCTGTCGATTGGTAGAAACTATTTCACATTTGGTGGGGTTTAAAGAAAGGCCCAGGCTTTCTCCCATGTCTTTAATTTTTCTGATGCCTTCTAGGAGAGATTCTGTTGTGCCAGCTAGGGTACCATCATCCAAGAACCAGATATTGAGCTCACTGGAGAGTGCTTCTGTGACTTCCTTGATGACCAAACAGAATAGAAAGGGGGCAAGAGGGTCCCCCTGTTACACACCCTCACATGAGTCAATTTCATGTTCCCTAAACAATAGTTTGGAAGTCACACTATAACACGAGTCTATGAAGGGATAAAGTGAAATGAAGTTTCTATAAACTGCCTGGAGAGCACCATCCCTTCTGACTGAGTTGAAAGCGTTGGCAAAGTCCAATTTGACCAAGGCTCTTTCATCGGACGTGTTGTTGATGTATACTTGTGCTGCTGGGCAGCTGCTTTACAGTCTTGTTGATCACCAAAACCGAGTTGAGTTGGCTTCAGCATTGCAGCAGCCTCTTGACTCACCCTTCTTACTGCAGCCTTGGCAACTAGGCGCCGAAGGGTGTTGCCCACTGCAATGGGCCTGATTCCGCCATCCTTTTTCCGGAGGGCACACAATGAGGCACCAAAGAAAAGGGGCGTAATGGCCTCTGGGACACTGCCAGCCGGGCACAGGCTGGAAAATTTGGTGAGTTCAGACAGCAGCCTCTCTGAAACATCACCAAGTGTTGGATTGAGCATTTGTTTTAAGTGTTGAGGCCTTAAACCGGTGAAACCTCCTGCTAAGCAGCCCTGTGGAAATGACATAGCAGCTTTATACACATCAGCATCCTGTAAGGTTAGATGTTCTTCACCTGCTGCAATGTCAGGGAGGTCAATGTTGGTACTGGGAGCCCTGGGTGGATGTTTGTCCTTCAGAGCCTCAGAACTCCGATAGTATTACCCTCTTCTACTTTTTTGCTAATTTGGGCTCTGATTTTTGAGGCGTCGGGTGTCCTGTTGTTGGCATTTGCCCGGCGGGTGTTTGTCGCCCTAGGAGGGAGACGGACGAGGTTGTCATCCCTCGGGAATGCATTTGTTGCCCTGGTGGCTCTGGTGGCCTGGTGGTTAACGCTCTCGCTTCACACGGTGAGGGCCTGGGTTCGATTCCCAGCCAGAGTAGAAACATTGGACGTGTTTCTTTCCACCTGTTGTCTATGTTCCCCATCAGTAAAATGGGTACCTGGGTGTTAGTCGACTGGTGTGGGTCGCATCCTGGGACACTGACCTAAGGAGGCCTGGTCACAGACCGGGCCGCGGGGGCGTTGACCCCCGGAACTCTCTCCAGATAAACTCCAGATAATACTCAGATAACATGTATATATATATTTATTATATATATATATAATTATATATATATATATATATATATATATATATATATATATATATGTATACATATAGTATATATATATGTATATATATATATATATATATATATATATATATATATATATATATATATATATATATTGATAAATGTGGCATCCATAATTCGTCTTCCACCTCATCCCTCTCTTTCGTTTATCATCAGTTTATAATTCCTCTTGCCCTCTCTCTGGGATGATGGAGATATCGTCATAAAAAATCCCTTTCTCGTTTATAGGATTGGCTATTGTGAGAGATGGTAATTCCCAAGCGACAGTAACTCCAGCTCTTCCAGAAGGACACCTTTGGCGCTCCCGTAGCTGATGAATCCTTACTGGAGTACTTGATGATGCCCTCTCATTGTCCTCCTGAAGAGATTTCGACACCTTGAACTTCAGGAAGATTTCGACGTATATCATGGTCTGAAAAGTGGCAGATGCTGTTCACTGTGGACAGGCGCGAAGTACTAATCCTTGGGAATAACTCTTATATTTATAAATTGATCATCTCATCATCTGTCTGTCTTCTGTGTATTATTCCGCAAGGCTCAGGGACCGATTGCCTCCTCTTCTTCAGTCATCCGTTTATGTCCTCTGTATTGATGGTATATAACAGGGATACGACAGAGAAATATGACAGAAGACTCGTGACTCTGGTCATGGACTGGCCTGCGGGGGCGTTGACCCCCGGAACACCCTCCAGGTAGGTAGAGGCTCATGACAACATTGCCATTGACTTTCAGGCGAATTATCAAGCTGAAATGAAATTACCCGTAACTCAAACTCAAGCTTGAAACTGAGCCAGTGTAAATAGACTCCACTATTTAAAGCTTAAAAGAGTTATTTACAATTAAATAATGTGACCTGGTCGTAATGGGCTTTTAGAGCAAAACAAACTCAGCAGCAATATTTAACTTGTATTTCCTTCACCAGATATATATATACAATTATGTACACTTATGTACACTATGTACAGAAGTTAAATATAAGTGTACCACACGGTGACAAAGAATAGCAAAAACGGAAGCCAGAGTGAGAGAGAGAGAGAGAGAGAGAGAAGAGAGAGAGAGAGAGAGAGAGAGAGAGAGAGAGAGAGAGAGAGAGAGAGAGAGAGAGCCGTATTCAACCAGCTAGTAGGCAAGCCTGGCATATGCTGACCGTGAGTGAACCACATCACCTTAGCACTTATCGGGCTCGCCTGTGATTGGACAATGAACCAAGGCACTGATTTAACGACGGGTACCCTACAAAATCGTTAAACCCTTAGCACCCGGTTTGCTGGTTGGGAGGCAGCCTATGTGGGAGTGTGTACATACGCCCAATAAATGTAACATACTCTTTACATGCCACACTTTACAACATATTTTTTGGCGCAAGCGCAGGTGTGGGTCGTTGAATAAAATTATATTCAGCAAGCTGATTGCTAATTAACATTTTCATCAGTATCAGCAATAAATCTAGATGGAACGATTATGCTTATTATATTTCCGTGTTTGTCCTCACATGGTACCAGGATACAAAGGACGAATTTTTCACGAAATATAACTGTCCAAAGCTAATGTTTATGTTGTGACTGAATTCACGCGCAGTGCAGAACACATTGTGGGGCCAGGAGCTGAGTTTCGACCCCCGCAACCACATATAGGTGAGTACATCACTGCTGTTACTGGCTGTCATCTCAGTCGTGTTCATGTATATGCGTGTACACACTTGCACCAGCTTCACCTACATAGGAATTGCCGCGACATTGATTCCAGGAGAGAGAGAAAAGCAAAACTTAGTCTCAGCTGGGGAAATACATTATAGAGAATACAAGACAAAAAAGCACATAGGGATTGTTCAGCCCACGTACAACAGGAAGAAAGACGTGGATTGAACAACAGAAAGACGTGGTTTGAACAGGAAGAAGAACGTGGGCTCAACAACAAGAAACAGTTTAATAACAAGAGAGAGTAAAACTCAAGGTGGTATCCCAAGATACTCCAATTCCGTAGAATAAGAGCCCTTCCGCAGCATGCAACTACATTCCTTTGAAGGGATATACAAGACGATCATGTACCGAAGGTGACGAATATGATGTGAAGAACACTAACGTTTAAGGAAAATGCTGAAGATGATGTCGGTAAATACAACGATTAACAATGTAGATCTGAAGAATATTTTTCTGAGTATGAGTTAAGAACAAAAACGAACAATACAGCGACTGGAACAATACACGAATATCCTGCATATAGCAGACAAACAGAAGCTTACGACGACGTTTCGGTCCGACTTGAACCATTTACAAAGTCACATTTACAAAGTCGTCGTAAGCTTCTCTCTCCTATATACCTAGAATATGTGTATGGTACGTATCATGTGTATGTACGTGTACGTGTGTGTATCAAGTGTATGGCTGCTACTTGGCTAAACATAATACATAAACTTCTCTTATTGTCTTAACACTTGTAAGTGTCCATAAGATGTAAATAAAAATGCAACTAATAATCGTAAGTTTATTTCTTCACAAAAGACGAACAACCATTTGACTGCTATTTAACAGCCACTAAAAGACAGTGAAAGTAATTGAGCTACCACCTATTACAGAATATATATATATATATATACATATTTATATATATATATATATATATATATATATATTATATATATATATTTTTTTTTTTTTTACACACCAGCCGTATCCCACCGAGGCGGGGGTGGCCCAAAAGGAAAAACAAAAGTTTCTCCATTCAATTTAGTAATATTACAGGAGAAGGGGTTACTAGCCCCTTGCTCCTGGCATTTTAGTCGCCTCTTACAACACGCATAGCTTACGGAGGAAGAATTCTGTTCCACTTCCCCATGGAGATAAGGGGGAAAATAAACAAGAACAAGAGCTAGTAAGAAAATAGAAGAAAACCCAGAGGGGTGTGTATACATATGCTTGTACATGTATGTGTAGTGTGACCTAAGTGTAAGCAGAAGTAGCAAGACGTACCTGAAACCTTGCATGTTCATGAGACAGAAAAAAGGACACCAGCAATCCTACCATCGTGTAAAAACAATTACAGGCTTACGTTTTTACCCTCACTCGGCAGGACGGTAGTACCTCCCTGGGCGGTTGCTGTCTACCAAAAACCCACTACCTATATATATATATATATATATTATTTATATATATATATATATATATATTATATAATATATATATATATATATATATAAAATCTAAAAGTGAAGTGAAAAATAGGTGTAATTAAGAAGAATGTTGGAATGTAAATGTCAAGTGTTGGTGGGTCAGCAACACTTGACACTTATGCAGGACCCTACGAGGCATTGCTGGAGCTTTTGAGGGCAGAAGTTACTCCAAGTTGGAGGCATTGGAAGGTTATCATGAATCCGCTGCCTTAGTGATTCTTGTAACTGAGAGTTCCTCTGGTGCGTAAAATCTTGAATTCGTCAGATGTGAAGTCACGAGTCTCGAAGTCGCAGTGTTTTTACGTTTTAGCTTCTTGGGTTGTAAGTTTGGCGGTAGTTTATGTGTGGGTGACCGTCTTCCAGAGGGGTCTTTCAACTGCGAATGTTTGAAGGTCACAATGCAGCATTAACCAAAATATCCAAATCCGCGTCTCCCGAAGCCACCAAAGCCGCGACCGAAGCCGCGACCGAAGCCACCAAAACCGCGACCGAAGCCACCAAAACCGCGACCGAAGCCACCAAAACCGCGACGAAAACCACCAAAGCCAAACTGTGGGTCAGCACTGGGGTCAGGGTCAGCTAGGGCGTAGGGGTCAGGCATGGCTTTGGCTGACCTCAGCAGGGCAGTCAGGGCCACTACCATAACCATCATCACTGACAACTGCAATAATAGAGGATACACTTTTAAAAGTCTGTATAATATAATATACTGTGTACATATTATAATAGTGAATGTAACCCTGGTCTTATGCAGGAACACTGCAGAAGGCCTACTGGCCACTAAAATCAACGTTATTTGGTTTCGACATTCTATGCTGTCATCATCAGATATCTAAAAATGTAATTTCAATGTGATTAGACTACGTTGTAAGAGAAATTTAGTGTTATAATACAAAGAGATTTGTTGTTATATATTTTTTTAAAAATTATAAAGAGAAATAGCACACAGCAGTAAAAACAGGATCAAAATACAAGAGATACAAATTAAATATTTATAGGTAAGTGAAATGCGAACGTTAATAAAACAAGGGGCGATCTCTTAGTGTCTTGGGCACTAAGAAGAAAAAGACACAATACCGTGACTGGAACAATACACAAATATCCCGCACATAGGAGAGAGGAGCTTACGACAACGTTTCGGTCTGACTTGAGCCATTTACAAAGTCACACTAAGTTCCTCTTTCCCTATGTGCGGGTTATTTGTGTATTGGTCGCTAAGTGTTGGCCGGAGTTTTCACTGTCAGTAATGGACCTATACTTCTTATAAGCCCACTGCTGACGGAGGACAGGAAATTATAGAGAAGTGAGAAATATACGACCAGGAGGGTGAATACACCCTGGGTGGAGGATTAAGACACATTTGCAACAGTTGGGACACCTTTATTAATGAAACGTTTCGCCTACACAGTAGGCTTCTTCAGTCGTCAATTACAAAAGGAGCTAGTTCAGTTCCATGGAGCTGAACTCTTCTCCAGCCTGAGGGACTGACCACCTCAAATACTTTTTCTCCAAGGCTGATGGACTGACTACATTATCTTTATTTTCTTACTACTGCTCCCTTTGTATTTGAATGAAAAATCCTACTGCGTAGGCGAAATTTTTCATCTATAAAGATACCCAACTGTTGCATATTTATTTAAATTTTCAACTTGTTAGTATTTTATACCATTTTCAACAATCCTGGATGAGAACAACAGAACACATGACCATAACACAAGGCACAGATCACTCTTTGATGTTCCTCGTGTCCATCTCACACTATGCAAAAACTCAATGCACATAAAAGGCCTAAAATCGGGAAATTTTCATTACCTGTAAATATAAAAGAAACACTACCTGTTCATAAATTCAAGTCTCTTCTCAAAGATCACTTACTCACCCAAAACCAAATAAATACTGAATAACTGAACCTTATAAATTGTATATCTTAAATGTTTCTCACAATTATATCACATAAATGTTAAACCTAAAACCCAATCTAACTTTATTATTTTTTAAATACACTACCTAACAGAATACTCCATACGACTGAATGTACAACAATGCAAGCAACCATATGACCTGTCTTTGTAATACTCACTTGTGCTTTATAGTTATCTGTTTACAATAATGTTTTATCACTGATTTCATCATTGCTTAGTTAATTTTAAGCCAGCCCGAAATGCTATGCATAGTATAAGTAGCTTTGGCATGCTGCTCTTATCTGTATTTTTTTGTACCTCTGTATGTATGCTCAAATTGTTAATAAATAAATAAATAAATAAATAAGGAGTTATCCTAGGAAGGACTGGAGGGAGGCTGTGAAGAGATTTAAATTCGTATGATCTGGAGCATCTAGCAGGCGTATGTGTGTGTGATGAATTAGACACATGTGCAACTCTTGGGATCTTAATACTTGGGAATTCTTCGCTTGCCTTAAACCCTTGGGCACGACCTACTTCCATATTGAACAAATGTGACATCACCTACGTCTGCTACCCCTCTCCTGCCTACAGTATACAAGCTACTTCTCCGCACATATGCTGTATTCTATTCAAGATTGATGAACTGACCATATCGACTCAAGGTTGAGGGACTGATTACCTCATTCTTCTCCTGTTCTTCACGATTCTCCTTTGTATGGACTGATGAAGCCACTGTGTGGCGAAACGTTTCCTCAATAAAGATACCCAAGAGTTGCACATGTGTCTAATTTATCAACGTGTCGGTTCTCTGAACCATTCATCTACAGTATGTGAGTGTGTTAGACGGCGGGTGAGCAGAGACAAAAATGGATTTAGGGGGGATTTAGCGTGCTGTTAGAGTGTAAGCAAGACAGCATTTATGAAGGGATTCAGAGGCACAAATTAGCCAGACTTGAGTCCTGGAGTTGAGAAGTACATTTACCGCTCTCTGAAGGAGGAAAGGGAATGAAGGAATGTCACACTCTTCGGGGGGCAATTTAAATTGTGATGTCTACGTATTACTGGCAAGATGGCTATTCACCGAATAATGGTGAATGCTTTTCGTTTTTATTGGTCCCCTTCCTTGGTGGGAGACAACCATGGAGTTAAAATATTATTTAGCAAGAATTAAATGTATTATATCGTGATTTTCAAAAAAAAATTTAAATGTTATTGCAACAACAATTTTTTTTTCTACTTCTTCGGTAACAATATCGTTGTGATAAATGAGACTTTTGCAACATTTTGGAATCTTTTTTTGAGGAAACGTCTCTCCACAAGTGGCTTCATCAGTCTAATACAAAACAGAATGGTGGAAATAGAGGAGGAGTTTGAGGTAATCAGTCCCTCAGCCTGGAATCGATGTGTTCAAACTGAACATATCGATTCCACTGCACTGCAGCAGTAAGCCTGCTGCAGTGCTCTTCTTTTCTTATATTCTTATACTAAGACTTCAAATTGCCTTAAAATATAAATGGTAGAGCCAGACAGAAGGATCATCGCAAATGTTGAAGAATTACACACATGTGCAACATCTGGGATCTTAAAGGGACTAACATCACGATATTCTTCACCAACTCCATGTATGGTACTGTGTACCATACATGTATGGTACACATTCATGCTAAATAAAATTTGTTGTACCATGAAATTTTAATGTATGGTACACATGTATGGTACTGTGTACCATGCATGTATGGTACACATGTATGGTACTGTGTACCATACATGCACATCACTGATGGTGTTGAGGATTGTACTCACGAATTTCATGTTGGCAGAGGATGAGTCTAGATGAGACCTTCACCTGGTTTGTGTTGACTGAAGCACCAACAGCGTCTTATATATACTAGCTGGGCAAATGCCCACCAATAGGCTCCTCCCACACATGCGGTGTCATATATCATAATTTTTTTCTTCATGGACGAATATCACCATGGAAACCATATATTACTATTTAAGGAAATTATTGTAGCTCATACAGCAATTTTTTTTAGAGATATTTCGATAATTAATTTATGGTTTCTTCCCAGATATGACAAGTTCTCAAAAACCTTTTATATGAGGTGCGTATGTGTCTAGAGGAAGACATGGGAATGCCCAGACGAGGAACGCGAGGAGGAGGAGGAGGAGGAGGCAGAGGAAAGGAGGAAGTGGGGGAAAACTCGGAATTCCTGAGGTGTTGTTGATAAGGTAGTGTCGGGAAGGAAGTACATGGACACTGGAAAGGCATAGACCAGGAGACCGTGTGGTCTATGTCGAAGCTCTCTGCTTTCTAGATAAAGACATGGGGGCAAATTACTGGAAGCTATTATAGCCGATATTATTAGAAGTCACCTTAATGAGCATAATTTGATTAGTGAGTCTCAGCACGGATTCACTAGAGAGCGTTCCTGCCTGACAAATTTACTAACATTCTTTAATAAAGTATTTGATGCAATAGACAACTGTTGGATTTCAGTAAAGCCTTCGATAGAGACCTCACAAAAGTCTTAAGAAAAGTCGCAGTTCACGGCACAGGAGGTAAAGTTCTAGCATATTTCTAACATAGATCGAAGCATTGCTGACCAATAGGAGGCAGCGAGTTTGCATTAATGCGGTCAAGTCTAAATGGGGACCGGTCACTTGCGGGGTTCCACAAGGATTAGTTTTTGGTCCACTGTTGTTCATAATTTACATTAATAACCTTGATGAAGGAATAACGAGTGACATAGTAAATTCGGTGATGACACTAAAATAGACCGAATAGTAGACTGAATATTATGGTATACCATTATATACCATTGTATACCATTTTAATATTCACTCTGTCAGACACTGCAACACAACGGTATCTTGATACAGAAAACACCTCGAATAATAGATTCTGAAGAGGACAACAATGAACTTCAGCAGGATTTAGACAAATTAAAATAATGGTCTGAAAATTGGCAGATGCAGTTCGATGTAGACAGGTATAATTCTACCAATATTAATACAAGTGTAAAGTCCTAGTCCTTGGGAACGAGAATAACTCTCGTAGTTATATACTAAGTGATGTAGAGCTTAATTATATAGAATGTGAGAAAGTTGTACAAGAATGGTATACAATACCGACAAGTTGAAAATTGAGACACATGTGCAACATGTGTCTCAGTGCTCTTTTGTATATAGTTCTACTGTCTTCAAATTATGTCCTAGAATATGTTTTGATAAAGCCACTGGATGGGGAAACGTCTTCAATAAAGATACCCAGATGTTTCACATGTGTCTCCGTTTTCACAATACGAAAAAGACTTGGGAGCCAATGGTAAGGAGAGATCTGCTTACCATTTGTCTACATCCCTGTTAGACACAGCAACATCTTCAGATGTTGATGTGGGAATTCTTCACTTGCCTAAAATATAGGCATGACCTGCTTCCACATGTGGATTTGTCCAGTGTGATATCGCCCACGATTGCGTCACCTCACTTGTCTACGGTATACAAGCCACTTCTTCGCTGATATGCTGTCTGGGTAATCTCAGTTTTTGGCCGATTGTCACCGCCAACTTTTTATTTTTAGATGATGCCTTCGTTGTCTTCCACCTCCCACTCCCCTTCCATTCTCCCTCTACCGCCCACATCTGCCTCTGCCTCTTCTAAATCCAATTCCTTCTCGCTAAACCTTAAATTCTCTAATCCTGATGCCACTATCTGTCCTGAAAATTTATTATATCAGATTACTGGTGCACCTCAACTTAAAGTCTTCAAAACCAACTCAGGCTTCAAACTCCTTCATGACAAACATTCCTATGAAACGTACACCTCAACCGAGACCAGACAAAAACTTCTCAACGCAGGTTTCACCATTATTTGGACTCTTGAGCACCGTGCCAAAAGCAGAGTCATTGATAAACACGTAGACTATTCTCTCCTGACAGCCTATGATACAGACAAAGAAGACTTAATCAAAGACATCAGTACTAAGAACAAAGTCTCTGTTGACGATATTTACAGACCCGAAAACTCTACCATTCTCAAAATACGCTGTTCTACTCCTGACGCCTCTACGCTCCGAACTTCCACCCCATCATACAATGTCTTAAATGCTACAAATTCGACCACGACAAAAACACATGCACATCCACACAAGTCTGCTCCAGATATTCAGCAACTGGCCACTTCTGGAATACTTGTAACCTCCCCCTTAAATATTCTAACTGCGGCGGGTCACACATTGCAATTGCAAATTTCTGCCCCTCTAGAAAAGACATTCTCTCCTCCCTCAGAGCAAACCAACCTCCCTCCCTCCCTAACCCCTTCCCTGTACCTCCCTCCCCTACCAAACTGCCCTCCCCCATCCCCAATGCCTGGGCCTCCCCACGCACTTGGTCTACCTCTTCTACCCTACACACATCAAACACCAACACACAGACTACAAACACCTCTGACTTTTTTGGGTTATCCTAGGTTCTCTACACATATGCTGCTATGTATGATAATTCTATGTAACTGTATTTGTGTATACCTGAATAAACTTACTTACTTCTTACCTCTCCATCTGCGCATACACCCACACTAGACTACAAAACTAACTGTCAACTCGCCACTGCTGCCCACTCTGCGATGGTAATCTCTCAAGTTTACCAATCAGACTACTCACATGTCCTTAACCTAATCTTGTCTGCTAACAATCTTCCCTCTGAACATCAAAATGGTATACAATACCGACAGGTTGGTAGGTAAGACACATAGGCAACAGTTAGACAACTTTATTCCGAAACGTTTCGCCTACACAGTAGGCTTCTTCAGTCGAATACAGAAAGTAGGCAGGAACAGTAGAGATGTGAAGACGATGTAATCAGTCCATCACCCTTTTAGTCTAAATTTATTTGTCTGGCAAATTTTCCTTGGAACATTGGTATACAATACAAAGGGTTTGGTAGGTAAGACACATAGGAACGTTAGGGCAACTTTTCCAAAAGTTTCGAAAAAGTGGCTTCTTCAGTGATACAGAAAGTAGGCAGGAACAGAGAGAGGACGATGAAATCAGTCCATACCCTTGAAGTGTAAAAATTTTGAGGTTGTACCCCCTCACCCTGGAGAATTTTAGCCCCTAGTCGGGAAAACATTGAAGATCAAGGTGTGTTGGTAAAATGTTCCCCAAGCCCGTAGTCCTGGGGGTCTCAATTTGCAGACCCTTTCCTGCCCCCGGGGGAGAAAGGTTTTTCCTTCCGGGGAGCCCCCATCGCCCCCCACAGGACACCCGGAATATACAGACGGATCTTCTGCCACGCCCGCTAACGATAAAAGCTGATGTGAGTCGGAAAGATGGGGATGATGAAGCCCTCACGGATTGGGAAATCCGACGTGCCATTAAAAACACGGTGACATGCCCCGGGCATCGATGGTGTTACATACCCCCTGTTTGCAGGGGCTGGGCAGGTGGATGGGGGGCCTTACGAGTCTTAACAAGTCGGGGAGGGCAGGACACCCAGCGCTTGGAGAAAGCTCCCCACGTACCAATTTCCCCAAAGCCCAAGGACCCGGGGCAGTATGAGACCATTCGTACCCAGCTGTTGCCAAGATGCTGAGGGATGGGTTAAACCGCTCCTAGGGAAAATTGGACCCTTCCATCACATTTTTGGCTTCACCAAAAGGAGTGGGAAACAGCGGTGCAAAACCCCACTTATAACCCAGTGCTGATTAACAAAAAACTGTTTGTCGTTCCTGACCTTGAAAAGGCATTTGGCTGCCGCCCACAGCAATTCTGGAATACAGTGGAAGGGGAATAAAAGGGGACGCCTCCGGCCCTGGTAGAGTCCTACCTTGGGGCGGGCAGGCCTGTGTCAGCTTTCGGGACAACTTTTCCCCTTTAAATCCTGGAAAAAGGTACGTTCAGGAGGTTTGCTCAGTCCTACCCTGTTTAACACCCTTATGCAGGAACTTGTGAGCCTTCCTTTTGTGGTAACAGTCCTAGCTATGTGATGTCTTGCCTCGTGTGAATGGGAAAGGAAATTTAGAACAAAGGGTCAGAGATTTTGGGACCTAATTAGCAGTTTGAAAGGAACTAGGCCTAAAGTCTCGGGAGAAATCTCTGCAATGATGTTCAAGGGCCGACCCTGTAAATAATTACTTTCCCGGATATAGAACTTGAGTGGACAGGTCCTACCTGTATTGGGAATTACTTTGATAAAAAGTGACCTTTTCAAAAAAAGGGCCGAGTAGTAGGTCACGTGCTCTACTCAGACTCACCCCATGAGAGCCAGACGAGGCACCGTGCAGGGGCAAGCAAAGATGTACTTCTTTTGTATTATACAAGCTATAAGCCCTCATTGATACGTGCACGGCTTTAGCTCATTTTCCCCGCAGAGTGAAAGGGGTGGGGGGTCGTACAAAATCAGGCGATAAGAACTATGCTTTGGGGGCCCCCCTCTGGGCCAAAAACCGTATGTCTCAGATTGAGGCCCCGGCTTCCCTTTCCTTTGGCGACAGAGTAAGTCATAAAAAGCCTCTGGCCACGATTCTGCACCCGGGAGCAAGGTACCCCATAAGGGGCGGATATTTACAAAAATGGGACAAAAATCCCCCACCCTTTCCGGATACTACGGATTCGTTCGTTTTGTGCTGCTGGGGGGAAGTTGTGCCCTTTCAACTACTCCTTTAGAAGTTTTGACCCTTCCCGTTGCTGGGTACCATCCCCCACCCCTGGGCCCAGATCCAGCCCTGTTTGCATTATGCAGCTACCCATCTCTAGGTCTCTGCAGTCAAGACCCCTCAGCAATCTGCTGGACAAACATGGCACTGGAGAGGGGGGACATGTGCAGTGTATTTCAAGATGGTTTGTCGACCCTGCAGGGAA